TTCACGGCGAAGTCCCCGGAGTTGGACTCCTCCCAGCAGCTTCTACTGAAGCCTTCCGAGACACCTCATCTCCACCGCTCCCATGTTTTATTTTTGTGTTGCCACAAGTTAGTCTCTCTGCGTTTGTGCGCTGGGCTAATGCTAATGCTAATGCGAGGATAATAAAATGACGGCTTCACAAAACTTTTTGGGAGTTTTACGGGGCGTGGTTTGCAATCCGCCCAGCCAATCAGACATAGGAACCTTTTTCTCCCACGAAAGTCCCTTTTAGTTTTTTAGTTCCGGCTCTTTTTGGTGTGAACGCCACATTTCGGAACTAAAGTGGGAAAAGTACTGCGGTGTGAACGCGGCTATAGCAGCTTAGTTTGTCATGAAAAGTCTTATTAAAGTGTAGGATTTTGCTTTTTCCAAGCCCTTTATGCAAACTTTTGCTTTTTTGGAATTAACATAAATATTTAAATCAAGTTACAAAACGAAACTCCTCAGAAAATGTATTTAATTCGAGACTGCTCTTCTTCAGACACACTTTTATTTAGAAGCAAAAGCTAGCATTTTGGCAAGGACAACAATCTGAAAACATGACAGCTCGTATTGTTACTGAGGTTTGCTAAGTTTCTCTTTGGTTTCTGTTTATAAACTGATGAAAGAAGAAGCAAGGCAATCTGCTTTTAGCCTTCATCCTCAAGTTTCTGAATCTGTTTTTATTTAGATGCTTGCCGAGAAAACTATTCAACGTGATGTTAGGTGCATCCCTTGAGAAGAGCCAAATAACTTCAACTTCACTTGGACAACACTATTACTACTGAACCTATCATTTCCTTAAATTAACAACACTGACAATGCATAGGGCACAAAGGCTAAACAAGTAATAAGAGAAAGGATGCATGATCTACAAACCTCTGCAAAGGTCATCCTGTTTGCATGCTTCCTGATCTCAGTCAGTCCGAGACGCTCCTTCATCTTTCGATACCTTCAGGAGAAGAGACAACAGTGGAGAGTTGGTGTGCTATATTCACACATGTTGAGGGGATGCTGGTATCTAAACTTGGCAGAGTAGGTTACGTAAGCTTTCCTGCTCTTTCAGTTTTGCTTCCCTGTTGGTGGCTCAAAATGTCCTACTTTAAATGAAAGGCTGCATAAATGAATGCATTTTGACGTCAAGCTGCATATCTACATATTGCACTCCACTCGTCTCTAAATCTGCAGCCAGTTCACAGAGCAGCTGACAGGATGTGTACCTCCTTCCTCCTCTCTTCTTCCTCTGTCCGTCCAGCGGGGCTGGCAGCGGTTTGACCATCTTCACTGGCGGAGGCTCCTGCCATTTATCAAACTTCCTCTCTATTTCTTCTTTGAGATCGTAGCCAACCTGCAAAACAAAAAGACGGAAAACACCAGGAGTCAGACAAAAAACCACAACAGTGTACGATAAGGTTTTGGTAGATGTTCTTTGGGGGTCAGAAAATATTGAGAATGTATGCCGATTTAAACATCCTTATTGTGCATGTGGTCGAGTCTGACAGTCACCTTGCCGTCTGAACTCTCGTGGAAGCTGTCCACTCGGGAAGCCAGGGTGCATTTAGCAGACACCAGACGAGCGGCCTTCCTCCTGAGGTCCTGAAGACACAAATAGAAGACAGGTGTTAACAACAAGGTCCCACTTGCTCAGTGTAAATGCAGAAAAAAATGCAATACATTAATGTTGCTATATGTACTGACGGGTGGCAGTGACTGCACCACATCACAGTGGTAGATGTAGCCGGTGTGGGGCAGCAGGGAGGCGCTGCTGAAGCCGGACAGCGTCCTCCTCTGAGCGCCCAGCAGCATCAGGTTACAGGCGGGCATCTTGGAGAGGTTAGTCAGGCCGCCTCCAATACCTGCAGCCAAGAGAAATCACCTAAATGTTATTTGTTTGATAGATTACATTACATGTCACTTGTTAGACGCTTTTATCCAAAGCGACTTACATACTCAATACTGTGGGCGATCCCCACAGGAGCAATTTGGGGTGAAGTGTCTCAGGGACACAACGACACACTGACTGCAGTGGGGTTTGAACCTGTGCCCCCCTGATCCGAACACAAACGCACTAATCCACTGCGCCACACGCCCCCCAGATAACATGGACCGTAGAATAATATGTTATACTATTTATTAAACTAAATTATTTGAATCTAAAATGAATCTTTCGGCATCTCTCACCCATGATCTTGGCAGCTGTTGACGCTCCGACAATGACGGACAGATTGGGGGCGATGAATGACATTTTGGACTCCACATATTCATAGATCCTGAGTTTGGACTGGCTCAGCTCCAGAGACATGTCACACGATTCCTCCAGTTGCTGCAGTTCATCGTCACTAAGGAGTATCCTAAAAACACATGTAAACATGTCAATAAGCATTGTACGGAGACTGTGACCCTCAGATGTCCTGTGGAGGGGCGCCATTATTTTGATGAGCCAGATGTGTGCCGACTCACCCCTGTGTGGTCGAGGCTGTGACACTGACCACCATGATAGTGGCGTTGGTGAGGATTGTCTGCAGAGTTTCATTAGTCTTGCACTTCTCCAGATTATTTCCCAATTCCTGAGCAAGTAACAGAAATCATAATATTTTATTTGCATGGTACTTATCAAGCTTTAGGACAAAATGCTTAAAAGTACAAAAAATATCCGAGTTAAGATTTGGTTTCATATAAAGCAAGTCATTGAAATGGAACACATTTGGAAAGCATATGTTGCTCAAACCACATATGAGAAGTATTACAATTAAGTCTGCCTTTACATATAATATACATTTTCTTGGGTGTAAATTATCATTTTTTAAGGTATTGTGGGTGGTCATATGTTGAAATAATCATTATTATAACCCATAAGGTTAATAAATGAATGTAATCAACATGACTGCTTTCAGGGGTCAAATGTGACTTTACTAAACATCTCATCTCACCTTGACTGTGCGGACGTAATCTAGAGAATCTGGCACGAGAGACTCGAGCTCTGGAAACCTCTTGGAGTATTTGTCCCGAGTGAACTTGTGAATGATATCTGAAACCCAGAACAAAGGTTTGTTATACAGAGCAGATACACAAACAACCCTTTACATTTTAAATGGCTTTTCTTTTTATTAAGCAGGAACAGCCAACTCACTGAGCTCGTTGTCGATCTCCACTGTGAGATTATTGGCTGCAACGATCAGTCTGTACTCTGGGTCTGACTCCACTAGACCAGAGACTGAAAGAGAAACAAAAATGACCAACTTTCTTTAGATTCTTGGTCAACATTAGGAAGAAACTTTGTAAACCATATTGTCACATGCACATTGGTCACACTCACTCTCTGAGTTCTTGCGCTGCTTTCCACTATAAAATGAAATTTTCTCCATGATCTCTGAAAACTGTAGACAGAAATTAAGGTCAGAACGGACGCATTACTCATAATATATGCACAAAGCTCCCATGTGACACAACTCACCTGCTTGCTATTGCGCAGCTTGGCGATGGAGCCAACACTCTCCGCTTTACTGTAGTCGACCTCCATCTCCTCTGGGATGTCTTCCAACGCTCCCTCTGCCCTTCCCTGCGTTGCCTCTCCATCACTATCTCGTTCCTCTTCCTCTGGATACAACCCCTCCTCCCCCTCATCGCCGGCCTCCTCCAAATCGGCCAGGAGCTCGTCCGCCAGAGACATCTGCAACCGGCGGCAGAAAGTTGGAGGGAAATATGAGCTTACAGAACTATCAGTCTTTTTTTAGTCAGTAAAAATCAACAATTGTTTTGTGTTACTGGCTGCTCCATCGTTTAAGTTATAATAATATCTACAACAACACCGTATAGTATCTGACATTTGTGAAGATAGCAAAGACAAAACACTCAAATGCCATCCGTTCTGTTTTAAAGTTATTTAATTGTCTTATCTTACCGTTATAGCAGAAGAAATGAAAAGCAAAGTATATTGCAAAGCAAATGTTAGAAAAAAATCGGAGAAAAAATAATAAAATTAAAAAAGAATCACAAGATGGCTAGGTCACAAAGGTCATTATAGACTATAGACTTTGCAGGAAATGACATTTTGAATATCTGATTTATTTTCTTGTCAAATACTAGATCGTGCTCTTGCAGTCCCCTAAATGTATCACTTTTTGTTTTATACCGCAATAAAAAATGTATGATAATAATGTTCACTATTAAGCCAATAACCTAAAAGTGTTGCTTTCTGCAAAGACCGGATTGTTTTACTCTTGCTTTACTTTATTGTAATTTGGACGCTACACAAAAGAACTACAAACACTGTAAGCCCTCGCGCTGTGCTCTTGCTATTTGTGGAAAATGTTGACATCTTGTAACATTTAAGCCACATAATGCACAGGAAAATACTAATGTGAATAATTGATAGCCTTAGATAACATCTTAAAGATGTATTTCTTGTGACCGAAACATGTGTACACAACTGGGGGTTGTTTTTAAAGTAGTAACACACAACTAATTTCATGGTATTGCGGCCCTGTTAGGACTCTTAAACAACACTACAAATACAAAATAAACGCAGGCTGAATTATAGAGAGGACGAAAACTGATACTGTAGCTATAAGACCCGAGTATGTTTAACACTGTGGCTAAATGCAGTGTTAGTATCGTTAATACTGAATGAGTGTGTGCTAGCTAGCATTAGCAAACGTTGGCTAGACGCAGCCGTTGATTTCCCGAAACGCTTTATAAGTAACACAAACTTACCTTTAGATATCAAAAGACGGTCGCCTTGTGAAAACAAAAAACAATACGCCTTATCACCTCTTTAAGGTGTAAGTATTAAGGTAAAAACGACTCTTAATACGATGTTCTTTCAGCCCGTGGTGTACATGGTGGCTGAATCGTTTGACGCAGGCTAAATACGTAACAGCTTTCGAACTGATTTCTGGGAAATGAAGTCAAAACACTTCTTTGTCTTAAATAGAGCGCGTTGCGATTACAGAACATACGAATTATTGCCATGAAACAGTTCATTAAGAGGTTCACATTTTGTAGTTTTTATTTCCCCTTGTTTATACATTATCCCTGGAAAACAATTGTTTAAACAATACAGGTTTTTAACCAACATTTAAACAGACTAAACAAATGGACTAGTTGGACCTCGACTGCATGATGGACTGTTATTAGTAGAAAATGGGGTAAATTAACAGATACACAAACAAATGGAATTATTTACTGATGAAAGGCTTCAATTTTTCATGCTAAACTACGATAGCGGTCTTTAAACAAGGTAAAAATAATGACAAGACAGCTAAAAATTCATAGATATTCGAAAAATAATGACACATTACAGGACATATTTTCTTACAGATTGGCATATATTAACAAGTAAAATTATACAAAATACTTATTTTTTTAGCAATTAAGACGTTTGGGAAAATATTTTTGATTTATTTGTTATGAAGATCTTAGAGAAGATATAACCTAGATGCATTCTGTCCCAAACAAATCAGAGCAAAGTTAATAGGTTAATTGCAGTAAATCAAATAAATACAATTAATAAATAATCAAATCAATAAAATATTGCATGAAAACTTGCTTTAAATAAATAAATAAAACAATAAAATAAATATATTTAATATAAATTAACAACAAATCTTTTTGGAACTTAAAGTATAAAAGAAGCATAGCTTGTTTCATTTTACGTGCAGTCTAAGAATACATCTAAAAGTAAACAGCTCTAAAATGATGTTGTATTCACTTGTATTATGATATTTGTACAAATGCAAATGAGTGTTGTCAAATACTGGAGTCAAGCGATTTCTGCTCCAAACTGCTGCCTACAAGAACATCTGACTGACTGCAATGAAAAACGTCTTTAATAAAGAGAGGACTGTAATCCAAGCGTTTACCTAGACGAATTAATGACTAAAGAAAGTTCCCCGCACATCTGGGGAATAATACCACAGAATGAAGAAGAAAGAGAGAAGGTAAGCTGGTACACAGCAAGACTCCCACTGCATAGCTGTCAAATCTGTTTCAGATTTTACAAAGCTCCAGGCTCCTCTTCATATGCTGCCTTTTCCAAAGACTTAAAGAATAAAACTCTGTAAATAGTGGCAGGCAGGAGCACAACAAGCCCTGTCATACAAAATCCTGTCGCTGGTAAAACCTGGAATGTGTCCAGCTTTGAGAACAGGAGCTTCAATCTTTCGTTGCCTCTTCAATAAAAAAATAGCCTCTGGGTGAATGGCTGGTTGTTGGGGTTAATTTGCTGGCCAGTCCGAGAGGGTTCAGCTCTAAAGGTTCCCACAACGACACGTAACATCACGCGAGGTGGGGGTCGTTGGCAGGGCTGACAGTGAAGCGCGACGATGATACGTGTTTTGCCCCCACAGACGACCTTGGTTTGATTGATAGATCCTCCTTCCTTTTTGATTCTTTGCTCTTGATGTTTCCTGATGGTAAGAGGAAAAAAAAAAATCTCAGTCACAAGTTCCTGGGATGCATGTGTTGAATTGTACTCCTATTTCAAAATGCTGCTAGACTCCTCACGTATTTTAACAAAAGAGTACAGTTCAGTAAATAGTAGGAATGTGATGTGTTTGTATTTATTCATTAGCATTTCATGTTGCCAAAAAAATACAATGCATAATTATTTTTGTTTAATTGTTTTCCTTCAGATTACAGATGGACAGCATACCCAGGTAACATTTCATTAAAAATAAAATACATCAGAATTAACATACGGAAGTTCAGGTACACCATCCGTTTATGGCGGGGTATTTAATACAAATAGAGTAAGATATTACTATAAAACCAAATACAAGTCAGAAAACAATCTAATTTTCTATAATAAAATCTCACTAAAGCAATGCTGGACAGATTCTAGTTAAAAATAGCTCAAACTGAACACAGCCTCCTCTTTCCGTTTCAAGTCTCAACAAAAGATCATGAAAGCATCTAATTTTGGAGTTTCTGATTTCCTTTATATGTGCACAGCCCAAACCTTCATTACTCTCTGAAATGAGGTGATCAGTGTACGAGATAGCGAGAGGAAGTCGAGGGAGCAAATGAAGACGTGTTGGGGAACACAGCTTAGCCTTGCATTGTTGAGCGCAGGATTTCTGTCGCCGCTCAGTTCCACATGTCACAGAGCCGAGGGGAAAATTATAGAAGATTAATTCTGGCTGCATGTTTGTAGAGGAGGAGGTTGGAATGAGAGTTTTCCATTTTGGTGGGTGGGAGCGAGTTAGTGGCTGTCAGATTGTATTACGGCATTCTCCGACTCAAGGTGGGGACATAGGGATAGTACATGTGTAGAAGGGAAAATATGTCAGGCGCTTTATCTCTTGAGTCTGATGATAAGAGTCCAAAGCATCATAGTGGTTCTGTGATGTTCCCCATCTAAATATCCTTTAATATGAAACATTAACAAGACCTTTCTTAGGTTGTTTTGCTGTTTTTCCATTGGGTCAAATGTTCAAAGTATGTTTTACTGGGCCAATATGCTTAAATCATCCACCTATAGATTAAAGCCTACTGATGTTAAACTTCTTAAAACCTACGCTCTCAAATTGGCAGACAAGACTGACTTTAGACACTGATGGCGTCCTTCCTTTCTTTGCAATTTGAACTGTAAAAACAGCCCATACCAATCTGCCTGTGAACACAGGGATGACCCTCATGATATTGCTGTGCTTTGACCTGAATGCTCACGTATACACACTGACAATGCTATCTTGCTGATCTTAAGCAGTTTCATTATATTAAACATTGTACTTAGCACAAACACAACCTACAGCAGAGGTATTGAATTGACATCCTTTGGCCTTCTTCCACTTCAAAAACATTGCCCCCTCCGCCCATCATTCTCCTTCTCTGCTGCAGAAACACTCATCCACACATTCATCACTTCGAGACAGGACTACTGTAACAGCATTTTTGGCTCATCATCCAAGCCAGTACGATTGTTTTTTTTTGGGATTATGAATTTTGGTTGAAATTTTAGAGTCTGAAAGTGGTGGACTGATTGACAGAGGTATTCCTAGAACCATGAAAAAAATGTCACTTCCTCATTGAGTCTAATCAGTAATGTGAGACTCTTAGACGTTGTAAACATTTTTGATCTTACCACGCAAATCCAACTTGCTGTTTTTGACCGTCACAGGGGCTGGACTTGTGGGCGCTGAACTGCCCAACTCATAGGTTGGAGTTTCCTGTTGTAAGGAAACAGAAAAGTCAAGACTCCTTTTATTGAATCACAAACTATCTTCTGTTAATAAATTATTTAGGAAAGGGAAGTACCTGATCAAAAAGATAGATTGTGACATCATCAAAAAAGGACACGTTTCTTCCTCTGTCCTTCTCTCTGTCCATCGGCTCCTTAGGTGATTTCAGTAAACTCCTGAGCCCGACGCGTTTGTCCACATCTGTTTCTGTGACGACTATCACCCTCCGGGAGCTCTCGTCCTCCTGCTCGTCCTCCTCCTCATCGTCAGGGTCGCTTCCTGAGGACAGACCTCTCCGTCTCACAATTCGATTTCCAATCGCACCGTCCCCAAACCCTCCTTTTCCAGTGGGGGTGAGGGGCAGAGTCAGAGCGAGAGGAGGGAGGGCGAGGGACAGACGAGCAAGTTTTGCTGTGAAAATGAATGTAGGGAAGAGAGGTTAGACATGAGATACCCGACAAGAGTGTTACAACACATTCTTTAAAGGGGCCCTATTATTATGTTTTTGGGGTTTTCCAACACATTCTACATGATAGGCTAAGAGGCCGGACATCTCTGAGTGTTTGACCAATCACTACAGAGCCTGGGGTCTGGTTTCAGACAGAGGGTGAACAGAGGTGCTGAAGCACAGCTAGTATGAGAAAAATAAAACACTTTTTGAACTTTAAAGAATGTAATAATGTCACAGCAGATGCACAAAATACAAATATAAACTTTGAAAATGTACATACTAGGACCGCTTCAAAGATTTGGATGACATTTTCAGAACCTTTACATGCAAAGATATGCTAGTTATTGACTGCTGTTGACATTCACTTTTTTTCCTCTCTTTATCCTACCTTTTCTTCTTGAGACTGAAGAAGTTTACTTAAAGTAGAAACCAATAACATTTCCCACCCTGGCATTTTATTGCTGGTTTTATTGTTGTTGTTGCTGCTGTAGCACAGACAACTGGACCACTTTCCTGTTGTCTCTGAGCCTAGCAACTACCAAAAACACAGGATAAACTGGATTTTGTTTTTCACATTTACTCCAGTTGTTTCCCCCTCTGCTATTTCTGCTACTTTGAATAGTAACCACATGGATACTCTATAGCAACTGTGTATAGCTACCGAAATATGCCAATTTGTATTTAATGATGTCAACCATGAATATATTTCCATGCAACCTGAAGGTACCTTTCATTGCCTGGTTCGCAGTCGGCTGAGGGGTTGTGACCTCAGGTTGTTCAATCACAGTGAGCGGCTCAGCATTAGTTTCTTCAGACTCCGTGTGCGGCTGAAAGCTCGGGGAACTTTCCTGCTCCTCTTGGCTACAACAACAACAACAACAAATCACAAACAAAGATGAATTAAAACAGCAATATCAAAGGGGTTTTTCAACAAAATATAATCATATCGTAGTTTTTGTTGTCTAACCCTTGTGGTATCTGGTCAAGCAGAGTTTTATTTTTCAAGGATTCATCACTTTCATCTCATTTGTATTTCATTCATGGTGCTCACAACTAGATGAATAGGTTGATGGTATCCCTGTAACCCGCAGATTGTTTGTTTGTAGCCTTTATTTAACCAGGTGAAGCCCCTTGAGATCAAAAGATCTCTTTTTCAAGGGTGACCTGCAGGACATTAGTTACACATGTAACATAAAAACAACAGAACAACAATAAGGATGACATACAACATAATGTACAGGGTACAAACTATATTTACAGTGACAGGTACCATGAATATCAAACAGCATGTCACCCAGCCGAGTTTTAAAATGATGCAGGGGAACCAAAGTGCTCAGTTTTAAACATGTTTGCAGACTGTTCCAATTTAGTGGAGCTGCACAACTAAAAGCTTTCTTCCCTAAGACAGTCCTAGCACTTGGCACATTTCATAAAACAACATCATGAGATCTCAGGCAATACGTACTTTCAATTCGTCGAGAGATCAGAGAGCAGATATAAAAAGGTAGTTTACCCAACATGGCTTTGTAAATGAACATGTACCAATGAATGAGCCTCCGTACAGTTAGTGAAGGCAGACCTGCCTTGGCATACAGGGTACAGTGATGAGTAAGTGTTTTACAGTTAGTAACAAATCTCAGGGCACTGTGATAGGCGGCATCTAACTTTTCCAGGCAATGGGCAGGTGCATTCATATAGATCAAATCACCATAGATGTTGACAGATGTTACTGTCAACAGTTTTCTTTGGAACTACTTTCTGCAAATGTTCGACTTACTACTACTTTCTTGTCGCATTGTGTGCTGTTCAAAAGTAAGGGAGAAACTGTGTCTGAAAAGAGATGATTTTTCAAAATATATAAATGTTTAATAGTCTAAGCACTGGAAATGAAAATCCATTCATCTCAGCTATACTGTGGTGAAGGTGAAGAAATATATCTTAAAAACTGAGAAAATTAAAAACAAAATGTTCTCTATGTCTGAATACTGCTGAGCCGCAATGACGATAGTGTTTTGTGAATAAAAAACACTTTTAATGGCCTCCATAAGATACCACTAAAGGTAGAAAATTTGTGTTGTGTTTTTTTTTCTTTTCATGGTTTAGGGTAAATCGAGCATTTAAGATAAACGCAGATTTCCTAATCCAGCCTTCTTCATACCTTTCATCCTCGTTTTGCTCCGTCACAGTGACCAGCTCACTGCTGTTCTCCATGATTTGTTCGCTCCAGGGTCTGATCATCACCGTGTCTTTGACAGTCGACCCCCAGAGCACGTTTGTTTTCACATTTTCACTGAGGGAGAACTGCAGCCTTTCCTCACACACCTGAACGACAAAACAAAATAACGAAGAGGTGTGAATACACTTAGAAAGCTCATAGAGAGAATGTTCTTACATAAAACAAAACAGAAAGAAAAAAGACAAAAAAACATGCTCACCTGCATCATGAGGCCATTTTTTGTTGTCATCTTAGAGAGAGAGCCATGGTCTTTGACATCAGAGGTTTCACTCTGTGATCTCTGGCCGTCGTTCTTCTTCTCTTGAGAATCCAGGATTAGCTGTGGTGTTGATTCTACCAGAGTATCAGACTTATCATTCAAATCCCCCCTGCTCCCCTCAGGCGTAGAGGAGCCACCTGTCTTCTCACCTTCATCACTTTCACCAACACTGCTGCCCTTCTGCTCAGGTGTCTTCTTCAGAGACTCCAGGATCTCTAGGTTCCCCAGAAAAAGGTCGCCCAGAGAGTCCTCTTCGTCCCCAGAAATGCAGCACAGTTGTTCCAGTTTTTCAAAATCCTCCAGGGGCTCCTCATCCAAATCTTTCCACTCTGAAATCAGTAATTCTGGGAGATTGTTGAGGGGAACCTGGGGTGAAGATGGGGTGGCAGATGAGGTTTCCTGGAACAGATTATTCGGTTCATCCTGTATTTCTGTGTTGGGTGTGAGGGCGCTCTCATCGGCCAGGGTTATATGCACAGTGGGGAGGTTCAGGTTGGCTGAGATCCCTTTACTCTGAGTTGTAGCAGGTGGTGATTCTTGCAGAGGTGGCTCTGACACGTCTGCGCTGTGAGTTGGGGAAATATACGACTCTGTCTCAGTACTAGCAATAAAGTCTTCTAGATTAATGTGACTAATAAACTCTTCTGCCTCGATAACAGATGGCGGTGGGCTAGGAAAAGAGTCGTCTAAACTCTCCAATTTATCATCTTGCACATCAAGGTCTATGCTTGGTGGAGGACTAGGGAAATCTACCGAGCTGAAATTGTCGACCTGTGGATCTATGTCATCCTGCATATCAAGGTCATCAGAACAATAGATGGGATTTGGTGGAGCGGGCAAGTCTCTGTAATCCTCTTCTTCATTCATAATGCTTACTCTATCTTCTACGTATTCCTTAGCATGCCATGGTCTTGTCTCCTCCTCTGATTCTGCGCCTGATTCAACATTTTCCAGGTGGGAAACGTTCTCATGAGAAGCTTCGGTGATGCAAATAATTATACTTGAGCTTTCTAAAGTTTGACTGAAGCAGTTATCTGGGTTAGAGATGGTTTCATCAATTTGCTTGGCTGATGTCTCTTCGTCTTTTTGGAGATTCTGAGGACATCTGTTAACATTTTGATTTTCTTCCGTCTCTGTGGAGTCCTGCAGACCTTTGGTGTCTGTACACAAAATCTTACTCTCGTCCTTCTCCAAGGACTCCTGCTCTGGGATTTCTTTATTCTCTACTTCAATATCTGAGGTTCCTCTTTCCAGGTCTTTGTTGAGACTGCCAATTTCTATGAAGTTCTCAATATTTTCCTCCTGTTGTATCTCTACCACTTCTTCCAACTGTTGATCATCACTATCTGCAGAGTCCCACCTTTCCTTCGGGGCAAGATTACCCACAAGTCCTTGTGTTTCCTCGTTCCTGGTTTCTTCACTGCCCGCCAAGATGGCAGGATGAGTTTCACTTCCTGCAAGTTCATCGTTTTCTTCAGCCTCCCAAAACTCCTGACCCACAACAAGCATTTCCCCCACCTCCCAGGCTTTATTACTGAACCCAGAGAACAATTCAGACCTGAGTTCAACATCTTGGCTCCTCCTCTCTGGTGAGGCCCACTGGTCATTTTCATCAGGCCACAACCGTAAATCACTTGACTGTAAAAAACGATGGCAGTCAAACTCCCCCCTAACGACACCAGATCCTGTTAGTTCTTCATCCTCCTCCAGGGCGCTCCATAACTCTTTAGTCTTCACATCCAGGCCCTCGCAGGAGTTATTATCCACATTGTTAGCAGAGTCCATCCGACTCACTGCCCCTCTCAAGGGGGACTTTTCCTTCATGGCGTTACTCAGCTCTGCGGCAACCAGCTGTTTCTCCGTCTCCGTCTCCGTCGTGACCTTCTTTACCTCGCTGCCTTCTGAGCATTGCAGGTTTCTCAGGCCCAGCTCGTTGTGGTCCAGCCCCGGCCTCTCTTCACCTCCTTCTAACTCTTCATCACCCTCCTCGGCCCAAGAAGGACTAATCAGACCACTCTCTTTATCAAAGACAGACGTCCCGTCATCGCTTGGCTCGACTACTGACGCAGCTGGATCTCCGAGTGTGGGGTCACTGCTTTGAATGGCGTACATGGTGGATAGCCTTGACTCTCTGTTGTCATCTTGAGATGGTGTTGCAGATTGCACAGCGTCATTTCCACATTTGAGAGAGTTCATTGCAGATATATCAATATCAGTATCTGTTATACTTGTGGTGTTGGGCCTCAAGACGCAATCCTTTGACAGACTGCCAGATATAGCCTCGATCAAAACATTTTTCTCAGCGAGGCTCTTGGATTGCAGATTAAATTTGTTTTCTGCAGCGTCCTGGTATTTGCAATCTGTTATCTGAGCGATGACGCCATCTGTGTAGTCTATCGGATACTCACTGCTGTGAGGAAGCCCTTTCAGTGGCTCATCATCTAATGTTGTGAATAACTTATCAATTAAGTCAACACAGTCCTTGGCCTGATGATCATCACACAGCAGTGATGACTCTTTGCTCTCGTTTTGGAAAATGCCAGAGTCATCTCTCTGTGTTGACTCAAGCCCTTTGTTCAGAGAATCTTCGTCCTCACCTAAATTAGGGATGGAATTCTCTGTAGCATGTTGATTTAAAGTGATACTTTCCTCACACATCTCAATAGTTGTTCCACTTTCACTTTTCTTATCCGAGGTCTTTTTACTATTTCTTAAGGGGCTCTTTTCTCCATTCTCCCCCTCCTCCTCAGTTTTCTCCTCTATCCCAGTCAGAGTTCCCCTGTCTGCTGCTCGACTGCTGCTCGGCCTGGAGGACATGAGTCCGTCACTGCTCCTCCTGGTCATCCCGTCCCCCTCCCAGTCGCTGTCTGAGAAATATGCAGAGTCTCGATGGGGTGTTTCATTTCCCAGAGCTCGCCACCCGCCACTTCCCACTCCGCCTCCGCTGCTCGCCCATGAGTCACTGGGTGTGAGACAGTCGGCTGAGTTTGAAGTCATAGGAGACAGGACCGAGTCTGTGGGGGTCATGAGTGAGACATCAGAGGAGGGGTCCCAGTCTGGAGTAGTTGGAGTGATAGCAGGAGCGGCTTCCTCTTGGGAAATGTGACAAGGTTTTTCCTGCCTGTTGTCATTGTTTTCTCTCTTTGCCTCATCATGAATCTGAGAACCAAAATTCTCCAGATCTGCTGCAGTGATATTTTCAGAATCCACTGCAGAAATGTTATCAGTGTGGTTCTTTTCTTTGTCAACATCACATGTCGTCTGATCGTCTCTCTCAGGGCTGCTTGCCCTGTCTGCTCTCATTAACCCTCCATTCCCTATAACATCTTCTCTTTGAGTATCTGTTTCTAGCGATTCATTCTCCTGCTGTGTCACAGTGTTGGATGCTGCTGTTTGCTCTCCTCTGGCAGGTAAAGCGGGGCCATCTAAAGTCTCCTCCTCATTCTGACTTGCATGTGTTTGGTTGTGCAGGAGGCCATTTTTGGGCATGATTTCTGAAAACACAAACTCACCAGATTGGCAGTGATCAGCATCGCTTCCTTCGCTGTCCGATGTAAGAGGTTGTTTATTTGATCCTATATGAAGGACTGGGATCTCCGGTTTCATAGAAACCTTTATCTCGCTCTTTTTAGCCCTCTTGGTTACTTGAGCATAGATGGCCTCAGTTGGTGTTTCCTCTTTTCCTTTGTTGGATGCTCGTATGGAGCTCTCCGACTGAAATCTGATGGTCTGAGCGGAGCCTGGGTCAATGCAAATGGATTCGTATTCAGGAGATAGTGGAGTAGGGGAGTAAGATGAATCGGTCTCCTTTTTGTTTGTAGCAGTGTTTTGTCTGGATATGATTTCCGTTAGGAAGGTCTCTGCTGATTGGATCTCCTTCAGGAACTCTTCCCTGGTCATCTCCGTCTTGGCAGGCTCCTGCTGCAGGTCAGACTCCTGCTTCCCGATAGTGATCTCAGAGAGGAGGGAGCGGGATCTCCGTATTCCTTTAGAGTACGCTTCCTCAGCCTCGGTGTACGTGGGCAGGCCAGGTGCACAGACATAGGGCCGCAACCTGGATCCTGAAGGATAGAGGTATTTGACTGGATCGGGTTGAGATCCTCCCTCTGGATCCGTGTCCATGCCTGTGTCAATCTCTGTGAGGAAGAGATCCCTCTGAACTGATTCGTCAGTGACTGTTTGGTCCTCCTCATTTCCCGAGCTGTGGTTGCGTTTCTCTGACCCCCATGACTGTCCTGCTGACCCCAGCTCTGTGATCAGCGACTGGGAGCGCCGCATCCCTCTGTTGGGCAAAACAAAGTTCCCCCACGTCTCTCCATCTCTTTTCTCCTCCTTCTTTCCCTCCCATGGAGCCTCAGACTTGGACTCAGTGGACTCTGTCACACTCGAGATCTCCGTCAGAAACAGATGCATGGGGGATTTCTTGGCAGAGGCCACACGTTCAGAAAGGAGTTCAGCATCTTCCCTCCAGATGGCCGGCAGGATGGTGTCTAGTCGGGACTGAGTCCTTTTCATTCCCCTGGAGAAGGAGTCTCCAGCGGAAGGGTCTGCATCTTCAGAGAGGCTGGAGTGAGGGACAGAGTTCCCACCGCTTCTCTCTGGGGACGTAAAAGGAGAGTCATCCTCGTCTGAGTAGGTAGGACTTGATGAAGACTGTCTGTCAGGATGAGGGCGGGGTAAATTACGGTAAATTGGGCGAAACGGGTTTTCTCTGCGAATGGGGGAGTCAAAGTCTTTTGCACGAGAATGGGAACTGTCCTTGGAGTTGTGCAAGGATGCTAAATGCCTGCTGCCACCCTCTCTGTCAGACAAGTCACAGGTTAGTGGGTCTCTGTTCGAACTCTGCATCTGCGGCCTACTGTATCTGGAATAAGTCTCCGCTGTGTTGTAGCTGGGACAACCTCTTTGTGGTTTGGAGTGGGGAGGGAGGGGTGGGGGACACATTTGAGGAGGTTGGGGGTAGATCGGATGGCTGGATGGGGGAAGGGAGGGGGATAGCGACGGGGATGGGGGTAGTGTCTGTCGAGCCCTATGGAGGCCCAGGTGATTAAAGGTAGTGATGTGATGGGGGTCTGTTTCGATTTTCCCCCCGATGGTGTAGTGAGGCAGTCCTCTGTAACCGAGTGGAGGAGCGGGGAGGGGGCGCGAGTAGAGATGGTTGGCTGACGACATGGACATAGAGCGAGGCTTGGGAGGAAGGACCGGGGCTACTTTATCCGGATCACTACTCCTTCTCCTAGTCCTCCTCCTCATCATCATCGTCTCCTAAATCGACTACTGAGAAGTCAGTCACTCTGCTCGAAGTGTCTCTGAACTCAGCCACCCCTGTGTTGGGCACATGGAGATGAACCTCGCTCGATCTCACCGTCTGGATACCCTTCCCACACTTGTCAGACGAGAAATAAGGGATTCGCTCTTTTCCCAGCATTCCACTGCGGATCTCCATCAACTCCATGTCTCCGAGGCAGATCGAGTCAGAGCGGAAAGACTTTCCTTTAAGAGTTGGCGACTTGTCCTGGGGAGTGTGCTCCTCTAATCTGATGTAGTACTCGCTGGCGAGGGAGGGGCTGCGGGCGCTTATCACCGGGACGACGGTGGGAGTGTCCAGAGACTGCCTGTGGTTATTGTTCACACTTGGGATTGGCTGGGGAGGAGGGAGAGGTTTGTAGCCGCGTCTGGCATGAGCCTTCTCCCAGAAATACTCAAAGTTCAAGCCTTTGCTGGTTTCGGTGACTGTCAGGATGTCGTCCAGTTCAATCGAGGACGCGTTGATACAGTTCCCCACAGGGTCCAGCAGGGGGTAGGAGTTGTCTCTGTCCTCCCTGCCGTACTCTCTCTCCCGTTGCCGCTCGTTTGCTGCAATCTGGAAAGCCGGTGGTCGGAGTAAGTCCCAGCGTCTTTCAAACGACTCATCGCTCTCCCCTCGCCTTCTACTGCCCTCCTCATACTCCTCATCCTCTTCATCTTCTTCCCCAACACTATCCCTTGCTATTCCTCGCTCTGCTGCCAGGAGGGAGGAGAGGAGGAGGAAGATCTCTGCTATAGAAGGGCGTTGGGATGGAGGTAGCCAGCAGGACTGCATGATCTCATACCTGAGGACAGGAGAGACAAACAGAATTAGAGCATAACCACTCCCAATAACATAATCATCCTTTCTGCAAACTCCACTCAGTGGATAAGTACTGACCAGTAGTCGGCATGGGAGAGTTTGAGTCTGGGCTGAGCCAGGGTGATCTGTCTCTCCCTAATGACGAAGGTCAGCACCTCTTCGTCACTCAGGTGTCTGTGGGGCTGAGAGCCAAACTCAAACAACTCCCATATAACCACCCCCAAGGACCTGCAGGGGGAAATGAAATGTAGAGATGGTGAGACACAGATCTACACAGACCTATTTGTTATGTAATGCTTTTAAAGGAACACTTTGTTTTACACAGAGCTCTGACTCAAAAGAAAACAGGACTGAGGCACGATAAATAAATAAAAACATGTAATAAGAAGATATTCTGTTTGTTATACAAGTTTTGTCATGATATTATTAAAGGGAAAACTTGTTTGAGAAGGAAATAAGATAATAAATATTATCTGTAATCTAAGGCCACCATTTTTTCTCTTTACAGTTTACTTTACAACCAGACACCAAATAGATGGATACGATCATAAATTACCCACATGAAATATCCATATCCTACCTGGCTTGCACTATATCAAGAACCGAAATAATTGAACTATTCATATCTTAGACTGCACTGTAACTTTGATCTTTTAATGTTTATTTTATTAGCTTTTCTTTTTAATGACTGATTTTAAATGCCATTTTCTTAATGTCTTTCATTTTTTGTTTTTCTTTTAATGTTTCTTTTATTATCTTTTACTGTTTTTAAATGCCTTTGTCTGAATGTCTTTCATTTTTGTAAAGCACCTTGAATTGCCTGGTGCTGAAAGGTGCTATATAAATAAACTTGCCTTGCCTTGCCTTGCCTATATAATCAGATGAATACATATAAATCTATACAAATGTACATACCACATATTGCTGGCCTTGGTTTGGTCAGTAACGATGAGAGATCCTCTGTACTCCTCCAGCAGCTCAGGAGAAATCCAGCGCAGCGGGATCCATAACTTGTCAGGAGTTAGGTAATAGTCCTCCTTCACAATGTCATACAACAAGAATTATTTTTATAAATGCACTGTCATTATCTGAATGACGAATTTACACATGTTAGAATGGAAAACAATCTAATATCCTACATGGATCCACCAGGAACTTATGTAAGGGTACATTTTGCAGATCAAATCAAAACGTACCTTGTAATGGTTGTGTGAAAGGCCGTAGTCACCTATCCTGACAGTGAGGTCAGAGTTCAGCAGGCAGTTTCTTAAAGCCAGGTCGCTGCAGAAAGTAGGCACAACCTCCATCAATCAGCCACATTAAACAACAATATAAAATCTTAGTAAACCAAAAAGACAAGTTCCAGCACACGCCAAGATAAACATTAGATTATTAAAAGAGTTCATAAAAAAAGGAGAAAATTACCTTATTTTTAATGTCATGATATATATTTTTAGAGATACAATCTTGTTTAAATATTAGATCCTGATTATGCGTAGAGGTGAAGTCATGACTGACCTGTGGATGTAATTGTTTTCATGGAGATGCAGCAGACCGGAGGTGATCTCAAAAGCCATTCTCTGAAGAGTCAAGAGGTCCCGAGTCGGCAGGTCAGGAGTCATCCCATCTGACTTGCGCTGGGCCCTCAGGTACCTCTTCAGGTCGCCCTAATTCAACATCACAACAGTAATGCCAGCAGTTAATTGCATGCATGCTTAAGTACAAGGTAAGGTAATGCCAGTTTTGTGCACACTAAGTGCTTGTGTCCTTCTTGTAAAACAGAGCTGATTCAGAGAACAGAGAATATGTAGGACTTCTGCAGTAAATCCATCACTTTTTAGGGTGTTTTCCATCAGAGAGGCTAAAAGCAGCAGGGTATTGGTAATAAGGTGGCAGCCTTGGTATTAGTCTTGTGAGCTTAAGGGAGGGCTATAAACATAAAGAATAAATAAATATAATGAACCGCAAGAAATAGACAATAGGAGACATTATCCAACATGATAATAGCAGTCAACCCTCAGCGCTGTTTGGCTTCTCTCCCTGTGTTGATATAATTGATCTGTGTGTGTCTTTGTTTGGCCGGAGAGTCTACTCATATGGTTTCCTTAATCAGTCAGGGAGTAAGCCCGATGAGGGAAGGAAAACAAGCTGACGTATTGATGTAAAGCTGATTCAAGTTATACCGGAACATTTATAACATAATCATTTATCATTCCTGCAGCAAATGAGATGCTTACAATTACATTAAAACCACTTAATCAAGGGGTAAATGAAGTTAAGACCAGTTGAAAACAACCCATACATTTAATGCAACTCTTACACCACTCTGTATAACTACAGACAGACTCAACAGCTGTCATGTCAATAAACAGCACTTGTCAGTAATAAAAGCAGTATAGCAATTAGCGGTTTGTTTTAGAATTTTCAGGTACAAGTTGAACAACCAACACAGCACTGAAAATGAAAGATTATTTGAGCACAAATTGTAGATAAACAAAGCGAAATGAGAAAAACAAGCAATAGTTCATCTTTAAAAGACACATTACAATGGTTGCACTAATGTTGTTTTGAGTCACAGGCCTTGTTGACAAGTATTTATGTTATTTTGTGTACACACCAAGCTAGTTTTAATTTCCCTTTTGTTCGATATTCAAACAGCAATTTGTACTCACCAGTTGACAGAACTCCATAACCAGGAGGAAGGGGATGCTCTCACTGCACTTCCCCAAACACTGAAGGACGTTCGGATGTTTTAGGCTCCTAGAGGAAGTAAGAGAAACCAGATAGATGAACAGACAAACAAACAGTGATAGATAGATAGAGTGATATATTGATAAATTGATAGATAGATATAGATAGAGTGATAGATAGGTAGATAGATAGAAAGATAGATAAATAGATAGATAGATAGATAGATAGATAGATAGATAGATAGATAGATAGATAGATAGATAGATAGATAGATAGATAGATAGATAGATAGATAGATAGATAGATAGATAGATAGAGTGATAGATAGATAGATAGAAAGATAGAGTGATAGAGTGATAGATAGATAGATAGATAGATAGAAAGATAGATAAATAGAGTGATAGATAGATAGATAGATAGATAGATAGAGTGATAGAGTGATAGATAGATAGAGTGATAGATAGATAGAGTGATAAATAGATAGATAGAGTGATAGATAGATAGATAGATAGATAGATAGATAGAGTGATAGATAGAAAGATAGATACATAGAGTGATAGATAGATAGATAGAGTGATAGATAGATAGATAGATAGATAGATAGATAGATAGATAGATAGAAAGATAGATAAATAGAGTGATAGAGTGATAGATAGATAGATAGAGTGATAGATAGATAGATAGATAGATAGATAGAGTGATAGAGTGATAGAGTGATAGAGTGATAGATAGATAGAGTGATAGATAGATAGATAGATAGAGTGATGATAGAGTGATAGAGTGATAGATAGATAGAGTGATAGATAGAAAGATAGATAAATAGAGTGATAGATAGATAGATAGATAGAGTGATAGAGTGATAGATAGATAGAGTGATAGATAGATAGAGTGATAGATAGATAGATAGATAGATAGATTGATTGATAGATAGATAGATTGATCGATAGTGTGTGTTTAGCTTGTTGTTATGTAGGTGTGTTACATCAGACACAGAAAAGATAACAGAAAATGTGAAATGTTTGTGCGAGTGAGAGTACGAAATAAACAGATGAAATGTGTGTGAAAATGACTCTTTATGGGTGTATATTTGTGTGTGAGTATGTGTGTGCAGGCATGGTGGTGATGTTTGTAGTGGGATTTGCCCAGAGATAGCAATAGAGAAAAAAGAACATAAAGACCTTACTGCTTCCGCTGTGTATTAGTGTGTGTGTGTGTGTTTTATTATCATCTAGCTGCAGTAACAGTATCTCTCTAAGTACACAATATAAAATTAAAACAATATTTTTAGAGTGTAAACAGGTTGAATCCAAGCCAGACCCAATGTTGCTCCTTCAGTCAATGATTGAAAATGCCGTTCTCATCAACTTAAAACTCTCTATGCACATACCGCCTTACCTGTAGGATCTGTTATTGATGGCTAATATTAACTTATTTTTGATACGTTTTCCTGTGGTGCAGATTTCCTACAGACCTGATTTGAATACTGTACTCTAATCACACTGCTTTCATGTCAAACACAATAACGAACTGTGACAGTAATTGTTGTCAAGCCAAAGTAACATTGTTTTGCATCCAAAATGGTTTCTCACCTGTACGGCTCGGACTCTGCCAAGAACTTCCTCTGCTCCAGAGGGCTGGCACTGACACGCAGCTCCTTCACCACGGCCTGAGAGGAGCTGCAGTCACACAGCACCTCGGCCAGGATCACCTGAACAGATCAATGAGTAATATCATATCAATATCTGGTCATTAAATATAACAGATCAGAAAAATTAATCTGTGATTCGGGTTATATTTTAAATGAAAACTAAATGGAGTTGATTGTCTCACCTTTCCGAACCAGCCATTTCCTATCTCCTGAAGATAGTTTAAAGCGTGTCTTTTGAAGCACTGCGACTTGGAGTCTGTAAAATAGACGAGGAATAAAAAAAGATCAGGGTCACAATCTGCGTTTGATGTTCTTATATGAAAGTACATTTTGTAACTACAGAAAAGATCACTTTTAAAAACTGATGATACACTCAGGGAAAATCCAGAATCTATGCATCTGAAAAGTATACCAGGAATAAGATGTCTCCTACTTGGCTGAAGAAAATATTTTCATGTTTCTGTGACTCTGTATGCAACACTTATACCAAAGCAAATTCCTCGTATGTGTAAACCTATTTGGTTATAAAACTGTTTCTGATTCTGATGTTTCCACATCATTTTAAGTAACTTGTATATTGAACCACAAAAGGCTTCCAAACGTGGTGTGATATAACAAAATCATGATGTAATACTAAGAGAGAGACTTGTCTTTAGTTCAGCACAGATAAACGTTCAGCAAATACAATTAAAAATGGCTTCTAGTGGGCACACATTATTCTACACAGCAAAGTATCAGAATGACAAAAAAACATTGCTGAAACAAAATGAATAAGGTGTGCTGATAGGGGCGTCACGATACACCAAATACATATTTATGGTGTATAAATAATTTATGTCATGTCAACCAGTGGCGTAGCCAGGAATTATTGTGTGGGTGGGCCTGGAGAAATGTAGGTGGGCCAGGGGGAGACTTATTAAGTGTGGGGTCTGAGCTGAAACTTCATTAATGATTTTATTTATTTTTTAATGCACTAATTAAACATAAGCATAAACTAGCAGTGAAAACAAAAACATAGGCACGGCGGCCTCAGAATGTGTGTAAAACTGACATCCACATGACTGGCTCGGCGGCCACAGGTTGTTTATCTATCCTTGACAGTCGCACAGTGGGCACACACTGAGTCTTTTCATATTCAGCAAATGTGTACACGCTTCACTGCAGACCTCAAGAAGAAATAAGACTTTCATTCACTCACGGCAAAACTTACTTTACTCACGGTAAAAAAATGCACTCACTATTCCATTGTCATGAAGGTGGAATCTAACTATATCCAGAATAAGTTTTATTGGATCCAGGCTAGAAACATGTTTATTTCTGCTGTAAAGTTGGGCATTTTAACATGGGGGTCTATGGAAATGGCTCCTTTCTGCATCCATACCATGTCGGCCACTAGATGAACTGCAGTTTGTGGCACTTCCTTCTGCGCTTCCCGGCTCTGCCCCAGAGTTTGCCGCTATGACGCGCTGATTGGCTGTGGGTGGGCCAGACGTGCATGTGGGTGGGCCCAGGCCCACCCACAGCTACACCACTGATGTCAACATATGCTGATATCAGCACATCTTCAACCATTTACTTTTCTTTCTTGAGGCCTTATGGACTTTCTTTTATTAGGAGTTCATCAGGTTCAATTTCAATTTGTGTAATTGTTCTTTTAATAATATTTTGATAATTTAGTGTGAATTTATTTTGGCCATGATCAATGGTCTGGTGAATATCGTGACTAGATCGCACCATTCCTATCTGAGGCCAAATGTCCAACGTGGCCGGCCTGCACAGAGCACTGATGCAGAATTTTCTCAGATCAGAGTTTCCACTCCATTGAACTGCAGAGGGGAGTCCAATGCAACTGGTTGTGCTCTCGGTTTGAGACCTTTAATGGATCCACATCAGTGATTCAGGCAACAGACCGTGAGGGAGTTCAGTGCAGGATATTTCTTCAGCTTCATTTTCGGGGGTTTTGTGTGCTCAAATAAGAGTCAGAGAACAGGAGTTGTTTTTTTTAGGTTGTTACCTGCTCCATCCTGCAGGGCGGGGCAGGTGGGCCTGTCTCTGACCGGCAAGGTGTAGACCTCAGGGAGGGAGGGACATGACGACAGGCTGTCCTCCTGGATGGGACTGGAGCCTCCAGAGATCTCCTCTCCGTCTGCATTGTCAAACTCCTGGTGGTGGCACAGCAGCATAAGGAAATCACAATACTGGTTGAAAATATAAAATAAGCTGCAGTGTCACTTGATAATATGCCTGGATTGAGCGAGGCAGACAATGGGAAAGCAGCCACTCTGAACTAATGACACCCTGTCTGCCTGCTCAACAACACTGTCAGCTCAAAGGATGGAGGCTTAGTTAAGATTAGACTGGGAGATGATTATTGACCATTTCTGCTTCATTAAGTTGGAAATATTGTCTCCTGTTTCTATTTCCATGTCAAATCCTCCCTCAGTTAATCAAGCCAAGCTTAAATTAAAGAAAAATACATGCCAGCATGCATAAAAGGTGTGTGAAAAAAGAAAGCAGAGAAGGGTGAATAGATCTCTTACATGTTGAAGACTTACATTGAACCCCACTCCTCCTCTCTTACAGCACAGGCAGGTCAGGAGCAGCAGGACAAAAGAGACGAGCCCCGAGCAAGAGATGAGGATGACGACGTAGGGAGGAGGAGAGAGGGAGGCAGCCCTGGTCTGAGAAACTGAGTGAGAGAAAGGAAGAACATACAAGAGAGGAAAGGATTTAACACAGAAATATATGGGTGGCAGATTGTTAGGTCTGAGTCAGTGAGAAGGAAAGAGAGAATTCACTGAATCAGAAAGGTGTAACATCTTGGTACACAGGTGTTTTGTTAAGAGGGAAATCATTGGAACGTTTCTTAGTGGCAGGTTTGGGGAAACAGTGGAGAACCCCAATGGACAGCTTGCTTTAGGGATTTGGAGGGAGAAAGCAGGAAAACAAACTAAGTTGAGGATAAAAAACGAATCGTCTGCATCAGTAAAAGAAAATAGAGACTGGAGTTTGAAAGTGGGATAATATACCATTCCAGTAAGGAAAAAAAGCACGGGGGAAAAGGGAAATATCAGAAATGGCATTCCACTCAGGAAACACAGTTAAGAAGCAGGGAGGGGTGGCTGGTTGTCATTTAGGTAAAAAGGAGCGCTAATTGGGAAGGGTTGGAAACTGGAAAAAAGTTACTGAAATCAGGAAGGTTTACTACTCAGGTAAGAGAGGGAGGGATCGGGACATTTTGATATTTGTACCTCAACGTGGTTGATTGAGAGAAGTGAACCATCTGTAGAAAAGAAAAGGGGCAGGGCAGTGTGGTTAAATACCCTTCAGGTATTGTCTATAGTTTCCATATTAATACTGTAGCCAAAATACGTCAAACATTATATCAGTAGAGGAACAATGTAACCTTGAAACAGTCAGAAGCTGTCCAACTCACACTTAACACATTGAAGGACACATTAATATTCAAACCATACCTCAGCCTATATTTTCTGTGTAAACAAAGCCGCATTTTAGACATTAAATTACATAATATTAGCAAGGCAGTTATAGGAAATGTTAACCCCTGTACTCTCCTAATAAACTTTTAGAACTGTATTCACTGATATTACAATAACTTACTTACACTTTTAATTGTTGTTATCCAAACAAAAGCTCTATTACTAATGTTATCTAAAATAACTATATGCATGTGAAATAAAAACCTATTTTAGGTAAAAAATATATATAATTCAAGGGGTTACAATTTTGAAATCTTTTCTTGAAATGTATGACTTGGCTAATGTTTTACAAGTCACTGCACTGTCTTAAAATATCCCAAATTCATTCTCCATGTCACTCACAGAAATCCAAAAATAGATTCATTCACAAGGTCTTGATATTGTAAACACTGCATACATACATTTCAAAGTATAATTAATAATTAACCAACTTAATAAATATTGTAACAAGAGGATCAGCATTCTACTAAAAACACAAGTGATGCATTTTTTCCCCAAGATACATTTGTGGGCCGCATTTCAAGTAACTCTTTTAGCACATCTTGTTTTTTCGTCTTTTTCTTGTTCACAGAAAAGTTGCAACATAACAGGATTGTACTTGTTTTACACATCCTGCGCAACAGTGAGTAAAGATGTGACCAGAATATAAAACCACATTCGTACTAAAGTGTGGGCTCATCAATGATCAAATCTGATGCAAATTCAAATAAATGTTATACTCTGGATTCCACAGCTAATTTGTGATCATTGTACATGCAAAACAGGGGCTATAGGAAAACTGAAAGACCCCTTTGGGTAGTGTGGTCCCATAAACATGCACCACAAACATAAGTGATGGCTCCAATCCTGATGATGCACAATTCCTGTGCAGGGCTATTCTTTCATCTTTCCCTAGACAGGTGTCCAGACAGACACTGCATATAAATAGGAACCTAACACGGGGCCTTTTCCACCAGCCCCGGTGCCAGGAGCTCTTATCAAAACAATACACCACAACACAATGACTGCACATTACACAAACACAACACACTGCCTGATCTTGGGGGGATGAAGGCATATTCAGATAGAGAAAATAAAGATGCCAACAGTAGGTAATAGGCTAAATAATCTCCGGTGCAAAGCAGAGGCTATTTATAGACTAAATATATCGCACTGACCAACGTTTTTGGCTATTCATACAGAATATGCTGTTTTTAAATGGCATCGGTGTGAGGCCCTACATCGAAACACCCCCCCCTCTAATATTTTCATCCCTGCATGCAAATATGGTACCCTACCCATCACCAAACCAGGCTCGCTCCTGTTTTGATTAAGCCAGCCACGTACACTACAATAATAATTGTCATTATGTCTCACTGATAACACAGCCAGTAGAGGCCTTTTGATTACTGACTACATCCCCCCTCTCTGCTCCTTTCTCCAGCATCCCTGACAGGTTTTCAACCCCCCTCCTCCTCCTCCTCTCCTCCGCTCACCTTCCCTCTGCGGGGCTCCGAGGGCTCTCTCCGGGCTAAGATACGACATGGTCCCCGCCAGCGCCACCATCACCCAGCAGTGTGGCCGCATCGTCGCCACGTCCGGAGCAACAACACCATCCGAGCGACGCTGCTGGCTGTCGGTGTCCTCCTCTCCCCCGCCACGGTCTGTACCGTCTCCGGGCTCACGCTGTCTGTGTGTCTCCCCCCCTCTTTTCTCCTAATAATAAAGAAGCGTCTCCTTGCCTTCCTTGTTGTGCTCTCCCCCCTCCTTTTCCTCTTCTCTCGCCTCCTCCCCCCTGCTTTAATCCGCAATTAAACACGGTGCTCTATTGTGCATCCTCGGTCCACGTTACTCCGCGCATCTCTGCTGAAAACAACCACCCGTTACAAACACACGCGTATATATAACATTTCTTTCTCCCCCCCTTTGCTTCAGTGGTGGAGGGGTGTCTGTGTTTTTCTCCTCCGCCAGCCTACGTCAGACACACACGGCGCGCATTGTCATGGTCCAGCTCCTATACCCAGAGAAGAAGAAAATACATCTGTGATAATATTCCCACTGGGAGGCAATGTAGTGTGTGTGTGTGTGTGTTTTTATTGATTGCATATTGAATTTTGTATCTTTTCAATATCACGTCAGTATTCATATGAGGTCTTTGGGGTGCCACTTGCTTTGTCTATTACTGATAAATAGTAACAATAATGATTTTAATAATACAATTGACTGCACCTCTTCTTTATTTTTTTGTTTTTATTTGCTATTACATAAGACTGCATTAAGTCCAGAAAATGAAAAAAACGTTTTTACCGAGTTATTAAATGCTAAACAATTTATTTTATCTGTACCGATATGTGCTATATGATCTCACATAGAGCTGTCTAAAAAGCATGTTTAATAATGTCTTAATCTGATGAATATTTGGTCTGAAAACAGATACAAATGTCAATTTTAAACTCCTGGAGCCCAGTGTGATATCTTGAAATGGTTTGCTTTATTGGACCAACAGTCCAAAACCCTAAGAATTGTGCTTGAAGTAACACAATGGATGTTAATTAAGATTTTCCATTTTCTACTTCACTAATTGGTTAAACGACTAATTGTTTCAGCTCTTCTGTTTACAGTTTAATTTATTCACCAATAGACCAGTTTATTCCGTTTGTGCTGATTTTGAACATCTTTAATGTTAGCAACAGTATACATCTTTTTAACAGTTGTCCGCTGTGTTTTCTTTGCCAAGAGCTGTGCTGTAAGCCCCCTGTGAGGACAACCATCTGCCCTGCTGTCGGGATCATGAGTGAAACGCTGCAGGGGAGAAAGGTAACTGTAACCGAACCTGACCTCTGGGTGAACAATAAATAACAATTGGCCTCGAAATGGCCTCTTCGTTAGCTTACTGGCAATACAAATACAAGGCTATAGGTGTTCTTAGTTTACACACCTCCACAGTGAACAAATAATCAAAATACAGTGACAAGTCTTGATCATTTGAAATGAATGAGGAGCACATCTAACAGCAATGTATTTTCACTAAAACCAACCATTTAATACACTTCCACCTAAACCGTACTCACATGAAAACTCTTTTGCAAACATGATACTGTTTAGATGGAAGAAATGTAACTGTGAGGTGTTAGAGTACACTAGTGGATAAACAAGGTTATACTGCAAGAGTATCTTTTGATATATTTTACCTCGACCCCCATTTAGTTCAATTCATCCAGACTATTCTCTGTTTTTGTAATTTCTTATTTACTGTGGAGGCATGCAAAACATGACATAACTTTTGACAATTTCATCATTTGGAAAAACATACTGGTCACATTACTCCACTAACCATTCCTCATAGTTCACACTCCTTAGACGACCAATAAAGATAGTTCATGATTTTAATATTTCGTCTCTCCAGCTATCTCGATCTCGCCTTTGACGCTTTCTGGCCAGTTCAGGGAAGTATGCACTGTTGTACGGCATCTCCCTCTCCATCGTCTCCCTCCCCGGCTCCTTCCTTTTGCCGTTCCTCTGGTCGAGCAGCGCCTGGGTTCTCCTCCTTTCTTCAGTCTCCCTCTGTAAACGCTCAGCACGCAACCTTTCTATGGAGCTGCAAAACACAGGATATACAAATGTTTTATGTCTCTCCAGGTAGATTTACAACACCATCACATTTTATTCATTTCATGACATTTACAACCTTACAAACTAATTCATTTGTAGGGAAACTGTCTCCCTGTACAAAGCCAGGCTAGCAGTTTCGCTTGATTCCAGTTTTTAAGCTAACTGCTAGATTTAGCTAAATGTTCAGCGTAGCTCATGGTACAGTCTAGAGAGCGGTATCAATTGTCATTTTGATCTCACAAAGTAAGCAAATAAGTGGAATATCTGCAACGTTAAACTATCCCTGTAAAACTGAAGAACTAAACGGCAAAAACGGAAAAATCATGCAGACTGCCTGACCATTCTGATGCTGGAAATCAATCTTCTAAATTTCAGATGCTCCACTATTAAATATTAGTAATTATATAATACAAATATGGGCGACAAGCGTAATTTATCTTCTTACCTCTCTCCACTGCTCCTCCTGTCCCCTTTGTCTCTCCTTTCATTTTTCTTGTTAATTTTGTTGTGTTTTCTGTCCTTCACAGCCAGTGCTTTCTTCATATCTTTCAACGGATCTAAACTGTCTTTCAATCTGCGATCTCTCTTTTCTTTCTCCTCTTCACTCAGTCCCTTTTTTTTTTCTTTATCTTTCTTCTGTTCTTTTTCTTTTCTCTCTCTTCTTCTTTTTCTTTGGCGGTTTTCATGTACCACGGAGTGACCTCAGTCCCTGGTTGGGGTCCCAGAGATACCAGCAAGCCGATGGCGCGTTCCTGCTTCTCCTGAAAAATTAAAAGAACAAAGAAAACCAGAAGAAATCAAAGTTTGTTGTGAAAAGATTTATTGTATTGTCAATGTAAAGAAGGGCAAGAATTGTAAAATGATTCACTTTTCCTTAAGCTAAACTTACATCAAACATTGTGATGTGTGAGAGCAACAGAAAAAGTAGCAGTTACCTGTTCATCTTTCTTATCTTTGAGATATTCCACATTCCCCTTCTTCTCTGACGAATCCTCCAGGGGGAAAAGATTAAGATGCTCCAAGATTCCACTTCCTCCGCTGGGCACATCCTCCTCTTCATCTGCCTTCGTCTCTCCCGCTGAAGAGAGAGCCGCTCGGGATTTGTTTCTCAGATACTCAGTACGAGCCTGAGGAGAAGAAGAGTTGTTATTCCAAAATATAAAAAAACAATCAAGGCTCCTTTATAATGCATCGTCATATTTCACTGTTTGCTGTAACTGAAGCTTCAACCATGAAGGCGTTTACATCCTTATTGTTTGTGGTATAATATTAATATTACGATGACACCTTTGTAAATAAAAAGATAATATGATGACTAAGTTTACTACAAGCATGGTATTGATTTTTAAAGGCACAGTTTTAAAAAGGGGCTTATGTGAGGGGGAACTCTGTGAATAGCTTAACCAGCAAACCTTATTGTCCTATAAAGTGGTAAGGATGACTTAAAGGTGGGGTAGGTACTTTTGGAGAAAGCAGCTCGAGTGCGCTAGAATTTGAAAATACACAGCAGGAAAAAATCTGCCACTTCCTTACAGAGCCCCTCCTCCAACACACACGAACGCGCACATGACCAATGAGGGCACGAGATAAGTTTGTGCACAGATGGAAGGCTGACAGGCAGGTAGGCCATTGTGCCTGCCATCGTGCTTTTTACAGCGCTAAGGCTTCCACAGATGACATTTTTGTATGGATTTTTTGTCAAAGCACTTAAGATATTCATTGCTATCGGGATGTTAAGAGCATTTCATGGAATATAACAAAAAGTGTATCTCGAGCCGGTTTCTCAAACTTACCTACCCCACCTTTAATTTAACATGTGTATAATGATACCTATGAATGAGGACACACAAAGGGGTTTGTGAGAGGTGCACTTTTGTAGAGCTCAGTCACTGTTTGTGTCACACTGAGGCTCAGCTCTGAGGTCACCACAGCATGTAACTAACTACTCGTCAGCTCTTTAGCAGCATCAGCATCATGACAGAAAGTACCAAACACCAGGGTGTCTTGATATATGCATGGGGTCACCTCTTGCTCAGCACGCTCCACGCGACGCTTGGCCTCGCGCTCCTCCTCCGCTGCCTGGGCCTCGTCCTTCCGCACGCGAGCGACGTTGTCCTTGTTTCGAACGTGCCAGCTCTTCTTCGGGAGGATGTTCATTGTTGCCTTGGTGACTGTCTTTAATGTACCAAAGCAGATAGCAAGCAAGCTAGCGTAGCAGGCTAGCTCCGATTGAAGTGGTAATAAGCACGGCCAAAACACTACATTTGTTCATAAAACCATTACGGTTGTATCTAGAGGAAGAATGGAACTAAGCAGGGCTAAAAATTAGCCAAATAAAGCCAGAAAAAAATAGATATTCCACAGTTGGCGTCGTTGATTTGGCTTTTTGCAAATAAGCTAACGGTAGCCAAGGTGCTACTTTTCATGTAGCGTTACAGTTTATATTTAACGGAGCAGAGAACTCTCTTACTCAAAATTACCTAGTCGTTCGAACAATTTAACATAAACTGACAGGTAAATAACACTGTTACTATTTAGCAGGGAGGAGAGTTGCTCTTGCTAGCTGCCAGCTGTAGCCCACAGGAACAAGTAGACCCAAACAGGAAGTAAACATTACACCTTTTGAAACAGCACACATGTGGCACTAGATGGGGCTATAATTCCTCCCTATTTTATTCTGATTTAAGTGAGAAAGGAACAAAAACACATACAGTGTAACTGTTTGCATGATACAAAAAAGTGATGAACATTTGCATTTATAACAACAAACACACTCTTTTCATTTATACCTGGCTTTATGTAGCTTAAACATACACTGCTTATTGTCGCTTTACCTTTGTATATTTTACTTACTTTAACAAATTGTTCATATTTACTCCTACTCATTATGCATATACATCTACAACATTCTTGTATACATTCAGTTCAGATATTTACATTATTGTCTACCACACATTTGTATTTTATTTTATACATCATTTACACATAATAGTTGTATCTACTACTATTTATGTACGTCAACTGCATGCCAATAAATGACATTGCAATTTTCCAGATATTAAGTGCTAAATCAAAATGAAAGTTGTTTCAAGGAGTGAACTTTTTCTTTTAGCATGTATATACAGGGTTCATACATTCCTTGCAGGTGCCTCATCACGTTTTCTCATGTTAAGCAGTTAGTTAAACCTAAACATGGTTCATACTGTACGCTATGTTCAGCTAGATGCTCCTGCTGTCTGTTTTAGTATCTGCTGTCGTCGACTCAGCATTTCAATCTGCTTCACCAAGAACTGCTTGTCACGGCCCTCCTGAAAGCAAAATATCCACTGTTGCATCAGTAAGCCTGTGCATATCAGGAAATCACATAGGCCAACCTACTTATTGTCCAATTTCAAGAGCATGTATGTCTTTGCTTTACTCCACGCCATACATGTAAACAACTTACCAGTTTAATCTGAGCTCTTAGCAAGGCAACACTTTTTCCATAGACGGAGGCTAAGGCCACAAAATAGCACATCACCACACTGCCAGGGAGGAATGAGTTGTGATTACACATCATAAAATGGACAGTAAAGGGCCATATAATACAAAGGTAAGATATAGACTGCAAGCTATATGTAGGTTAAGTACAGTACTGAATATGCCAGGATAATAGTCCTACAGATAGTTGACTCACCAAGATAATGCAAACAGGGGGATGGAGAATGACTGGGAACCGATGAAGAAGAGAAACTCCTGTGTAATGATGGAGAGGTTGTTGAAAGATGTTGGCACAATCGACCACATGCTGGGAAAAAAACGGAAAGGGCCGCAACCCATTGAAGGACGGATCCTGGGTGGAGAGAGGGAAACACTTCAACTTCTCTGTTAGGACTGTTACAGTGAATAAAGGTAGAAATCAGACTTCAAAGTGACATTTGCCATTATCCAAAGCAGCATGTGATTATTCGTGTCCATATTTGCATCAAGAAGCTAGAAATTAATAGTTTGATTTTGTTTAGTTCTTAACACAAGGCTGCTGAGATAAAACGTAAAACATAAAATAGGCACTCACTCAGATAGACTGTATATCATGACAACTGTGCCCAGGCCCAAGCCAAACAGGAGCACCACCAGGAAGAAGAAGGTGGAGGTGGTGGAGCGAAACGTCTTCAGTGCTGGCCGACAATTATGGAAGAGTGTAATCTGAGGAGAAAAATGGGTGGACAGGGTTAGTGACAAAACATAAGCAAAGTATTGGGGAACATCTTTCTGTTCACCAGGTCAACAAGAGTGGTTGTGGTACTTAAACTACAGGGAAGTTGGAAAATAAAATCTTAGATCTCAGGCTCACTCCAACAACGCTCATTAAAGCAACATCTTCACCTTCTTGAAGTAGAAGAGGAGGATAAACTTGAGGGTGTTTATGAGCGGCAGCAGAGGGCAAAACAGAGCTCCAGTCCAAACCACAGTCTGACCATAAACCAGTCCGAGCACGTTGGCGGGAACCACAAACTCCTGTCGACCCACCCACTGAGCCAGCTTATTGGACCAGTTGTCCACCACCATCCTAACACACAAACAGTACAATCACACACTTTAGTTGACAAAAATTGGAATTTAGTGATAGTTTTAGACAAATTCACACAGTGATTTGTACCTGCGTGGAAACTCCACTAGGACGAGCACAGCGATGTTGATGAGGAAGTCAAACAGAGTCAGCTTATACATCTCCTGTCCTACACGTGTTTCCCAGCACTACATGATGAAACAAACAATAAACAAAAAAGGAACATGTTGTTAAATGTTAGACATATTATGAATTAACTTTACCTTTTTGTCATCTTTAATGTTTCCCCCATTCTTAACTTAACTTTTGTCGTCTCGATCCCTGTTTATGTTTTTTTTAAGGTTTTGTCTAGCTTTGATTATATTTGTGAAGAAGCATAATAATAATTTACATGTATTATTACCGGGTAAAGTAAATGGTTGTATTGACAGAGTTTACATTCTCCAGTATTTTCAGCCCCTTCGCAGGTGATCTGACGCCACAGGGTGAAGAGGAGAACACCCAGACTCACCAGCCGAAGAAACACTGCCCTACATGTGAAGGAGAAATTATTAGAAATGTTATTCATTCTTCATTTGGAAAGTCTTTTTTTCTGTCTCTCCCAATAACCATAACACGACCCTCAGATTCTTCTTTTTACCCTTTACAAACTCTGGAATTAACAAGCTCCAATCACCCAGTTACAACAGTACTTTTTGCTGATTATACTTCTCTACTTTTACTTGATAATCTTCTGAATGACAGATCTGACATAGGATACTTCCACATTTTGTAGTGGTACATAGTTAGGTACTTCTTTCACTACTGAGTTTAGATGACACCACCTTTTGCAGCATGTTCTAGAAAATGTATTATTTATGGGATTATACATCATTGACTATTCAATTCTAATTTGGGGGAGAAATGTTTAATATACGATGATTATACTTTTTGATACATTTTGGCCTTCATTTTCGGGCCACTTCCCTTTGTTTATCGAATGGATTTAATTATGATTATAATAATATTCAAATGCTCTGACAAGTTCTCTCTCGAACAGAAAAACCAGTGCGAACCGTAACAGTGCCACTATGACGGTGGTGCTGGGGGAGTATCGCTCTATCAGGGCGATCTGGTCACACAGCAGCGGCACCACAAAGTTTCCGGCGGTGATGACGATGGAAGGCAGATACTCAAAAAACAAACCCAGGATCCCTCCCTGCCCACTCTTTACCTGTTTGGCAATGAGATGGAGACCAAAAAGGTCACCAAAGACTTTCAGACTGAAGACAATTAACAGAATTATTCTTGTGTTTGACTTCATTTACCTGGCTGAACTCGGTGGCCGCAAAGATGCCATAGAAGGCTGCTATAATGAGCCCAAATGAAACAAAACACATAGAAACACGTAGCGAGTATAAGACAATTTTCTGAGACAAAGTCAGAGCAGCTGCCCTTTTCTTTATGCTCTCCTCCTCCAGATCCACCTGAGAAAAGAGGAGAGAGATGAGGGGCCGTGTGAAAGCACTCGGGGAATGATTATGCAGAGAGAACATCACATTCCTCCATCCCGCTAAGTGGGACAGCTCCCCTCTGACCTGCAGCTGGTAGTGGATGTTCTTCTGCTTCAGTTTGGTAGCTCGGTCTCCCAGGCAACCGTAGTCCCAGCTGGTGAACACGATCATGCTGTAGTCGCCCACGGTGCTGCTTCCCGTTGCCACGACAACTCGAGCAGCAGTCCCCATCCTGCATGAAAGTGCATAAGCAGCAAGAAACAGATGCAGAGGGTCAAGGGGATTGAACTCTCAACTCAGGCTTTTCAAGGTCACTCTGGTCATGTTAACATATTGAACTGAACCCCTTAATGAGATGGCTGAGTATGACATTTAAAATGTAAGTCAAAAATACATCTACTAACATGGAAAAGACTCAAAACAACTAAAAAGAGACACACAATGACTATAAAGACACAAAATAACAACAAAGACACTCAAACTGACCACAAATAAACTACATAGAGACACTAAACAACTTCAACATGACCACACATTGACTATAAAGAGACAAGTAACTATAGAGAGACTCAAAATGACTACCCATAGGGGGAAAATAACAATTAAAGGATGCCTAACAACTATAAAGTATGTTATGCTCCTCAGAGGTGGCTGAGGCTTTTGCATTTGTCTCATAATCCAACCATGCATACATACATATACAAGCTCCATCTTGATTTATTGAATGTGTTTGTTCTGGGACTGACCTCGCTATGATACAAATGAGGCAGAAGACAAAGTAGAAGACAGCGGTGAAGAGGTAGGCCAGCGGGATGTTGTAGGAGATGTTCTTGTCCTCCACCATTGTGTTGTTGTAGTAGCCATAAAACAGGTATGAATACTCCATGAAACCCTGAACACAGATCACAGGACGGTCACTGTCACTCAAATTAAGTGTTGTTGATTGTTAGATGATCAAATAGTCCATTGTATTGTTGCTGCTCTAAATGTAGGAACTCAGTATCTTTAAATCCTGGCCACAGTTCTGTGTTGGAGATTTCAAAAGCTAAAGGTGTACACAATCTTAATGACCAATTATGACAACCACTAATATCATATCAGTTAATCAATTAGTATCAGTTTCACATTAGTTTCTGCACGTCTCATATCTTTGAAGGTCAATGTGATGCAGCAGTTTCTCACCGTTCCTGAAAGTAAGTCAAGGAAGTAATTATAGAACACCACCAGGCCTTCAGGATTAGGATCATAAACCATGCATGCCCCTTGACCTGGAAAACACAGAAAAAGGAAAGCTTTACTATTTCTGCATACATTCTCAGAGATTATAGAATTTCTATAGGTTTCCCCGAACCTTTCTGAACATGTAGGTTAGGCTTTCCTAACGTTTAGTACTTACATAAAGAGAAAACAGGGAGAGGGAAAGCTGAGACATGCTCTCCTGTGGCTCTGCCATCAAACTGCATATAGATACAGCTACTTTCCTCAGATAGCTTTAAAGAATCCAAGGGTTTTAATGAAATGAAAATGTGTAATTGTGTCACATTTCCTTGGAACAATGACTGAGGGCCAA